ATTTTTATAATGCTAATATTTTTTATCATTCTTGAATATCTGAATATAGCTGGCCTGGTGGTTGATGTGGTTAAGGTGTCGGTCTGCTGATCCGGGGACCCCGGATTGAATCTGCCTGGAGAACCCAGAAATTTTTTGTGGACAGTCTGTCCCAGATATATTTGATCCTATCGCTCGGCACTGTCTGCTCCATTACGAATCTTGTGAAATCCATAATTGGCTGTGAAAAAATGACCCAAGCATCCCCAGAGTGAAATGAAACCGGAAAAATATCTGAATACGGGTGTCATCTTTATCGTTTGATGATATTTATCCAAAATTTTTAAGTATAATGTTTAATTTATTTGAAATTTGTGGTTAATATAATTTATTGATTTTGCTTCAAAATCAAATTAGTCTATAATCTGACTGCCATCTCTTATAGATCAGAAAATGAAATAATCAATAGTAGTTTGTCTAAAATTTTAAATATAATTCTGGTATATTTTATATCTTGAAGACTGTTTTCCTGAAGTCGTCAGACAATAGGATTTCATCTTGGTTTCAGTATAAATAAAAAGAATGTAGGTTGTTTGTGAAAACTTTTTATAGCTTGACAAATTATACTTTGCATTAGAAAAAACAGATACAGGTAACCATTTATTTAATATTAATATATTTATTGTTAATTTTAAATAAATACCATAATTAGTTTATGTTTATTAACGCTAGGAGGCTTCGATCGGTAGCGTGATATCGCCGGTAGGAAGGTCGTTTGCAATTTCGAAGTTTTAAAGAGGTAAGAATTGTGATATCGAAGAAAGGTTAAAAAAGAAAACAAATTAATAATAATCTTTAAAGTTTCCTGTTGTGGAAATAAATGCTTATAAGCAGTTTCGTAATTCCCGTAGCGTATGAAGTAAATTTGCTTCTACGAGCCTTAAGGTGAATGTAAATTAAATTGGAATGTTCGCAGATTTTTCATTACAAAGATTTGTTTTTTACACTTTCAAGAATTTAAAATAAACACGAGATATTTTTATGCAGATAACATGCACTTTAATATTACATACATTAAAACTTAATTCCATGAGTATAGAGGAAGAAAACTATTATAAATCTAAAGCTTCCATTACTATGTTCTAAGCTTGTACAAAATGCTACAATGTCTTTAAACATGTTAGCAATTATGTCCCTCTCCATGCACAAATTTTAGTTTTTTTCCCAAGTTTTAGAATTCTTCCTGTTGATTGGAATCTGTTCGAGTAATCCCTCCTAGTAGTATTAAATTCTTGNTTCACGAAAATAATAATTTTCGTGAACTATTATTACTTAAGTATGTAAAAATTTATTACATTTCCTGTTGTACGAGAGTTTTATCCAATTCTCGAACCGTGTCAGAGTGAATCCGTGCAATAAAAGTACCGTGTTATACGGGGGATGGTACCAATTCTCGAACCGTGTTAGAGCGAATCCGTGCTATAGAAGTGCCGTGTTATACGAGGGTTACCTGTAAATAATAAAGCTATCAACATTTTGATTGAGTTTATTTATTGATTTATATAATGATTTCATTTTACTTTAAGTGCATTATAAGCAAATTGTAGTGTAACAATTTAATAGTAACTTAGAAAGACAAAATATTTTAACCACCATTCTTCTCAAAGTAAAACTCTGTTTCAGAAAGTTTTTGGAATAACATGTAGATATAATGCCTATATAATCTGATTAGTTTTTTCAATTTCACTTGGAACTTATATTAATAATTACAAATTGAAAAAAACATTCTAATATAGCTTATTGAATATTTATTTTACTTAACTTTTATCTGTTGTAATATTTAATGCATTGAAATGAAAATTTATTATATAGATATATATAAATCTAAATAAAATGGTAATTATTATTGTGTGTATGTACACATAATTGCATGAGATTTATTTTATTATAATAAAACTAAAATTTTTTTATAATTTATCCTATCAAAAATCTATTTCAAATAAAAGAAAAATATCACAGAAATATTTATTCTTAGATGAAATTCTGACAAACACTGACTACAGTGCAGTCATAATCACAGCGATAACTTCTGTTTATTTCGTAACATTATTACTTTGTAAGGTGTGAATGTTTCTAATGCTGTATTGTGTTGAAAGTGGTGCTTAGATATTGTGCACAAATTGAAAATAATGACCATTTCTACACACACCCTAAACAGGATCTAACGCTGCTTCATTTGAAAATTATTGTTGTTTCTGATGTTTTTTAATTTTAATTACAGGTAAACCAAGCTCTACACACAGTAATAAACAAATAATACTGCCTGATTTCAATTTTATTTATAATAAGATTGAAATAAGGGAGTATTAATTTAATTATAAAATTATAAAGATATGCAATTTGGACTAAAAAGTAGATGCTTAAGCTTTCATCTTGCATTAAATTTAATATTTAGAAATAAATTAATTTAAAATATTTAGAAAGAAAAGATTAATCTGGAGTGGGACTTGAATCCACCACTCTTGCTGACCATGCAGATGTTTCCAATTACAGTTGACCCCCCCTATAACATGGTAGATACGTTCCATTCTTTATGAAATTGAAGTTTATGAGTCCTTAAATACATGAGCCAATCACAGCCCGGCATGTATGCAGTTTACGGACTACGGCATGTTTGAAAGGTTTTCTTCCATAAAATTAATCGATTCTAGACTAATTTGACTCAACATTTCCAAAATACGTATAATTTTTTGGGAATAATCCATATAAACTATGCTATAAACAAAAAATTGTAGGATTACTTACTGAGTGTGTACTGTTTGACAACGCCATTGCTTAAGCTTGTTTTCTTTGTGGAGCAGTGCATTGAATGGCACTCGCGTGCTTCCTGATAAATTATTTTTCTATGAAAACTTTGCTGAACTTTGGAGACATCATTAATATAAATATAATTTTTATGGCCGTTAAATAATAAATGGTTTTTAGTAGGTTTACTGCTCGTTTAAACTCAACAGTGTGTGCAATATCCGCTATTGGTCTAGATTCGACCAATCTTGTTGCGACATGAGTCAGCGATGACATTTTACTGAATTATACGAATCTCTTTTAGCGTGTTTATATGAATATGGTCGCAATTTTTTTGCCGTCATATAGGAATCTGAACTATATGAATTTGTTTTATAGGGGGTCTACTGTACTATGCAGACCTCTATCTGATCTTCACTTCCAGATCAATTAATTTAAGATGTAACCTTACAAGATGCTTGCTGGTTACATTATAGCCTTATTAAAATATGGTAATATTCTTTATTTTCATAACATCTATTGAAAATTATAGCATCAGCAAAATTTGTTTTATACAAAATATTTTTTAATTTAAGCATCATCTTTTATTTTAAATCATTAATTTTCATTAAGTCTAGATCAGCAAGCCTAAAACAAATTTTTAGTTACATCTGTAATATATTTTACAATATATAATTTGAGCCTATATAATTATATCTTTATAATTAAGATAAATTATAGCTACAACCAACAGTCTGCCGAAAATCTATCGGGCTAGTTTTATGCTACTTATTAGATAAATTACGTAATCAATTTGGTACTAGAGGTAAGCGTTAGGCGCCATCTCTTAATAATATTAATAATTATAAATAATTTTCCATACGGCACTCAACCGGCCATCGCAAGCCCCGGCAAGGCGTAATATATATACAAACATCTCCAACCCGATATATAATTATAGCTACAACCAACAGACTGCCGAAAATCTATCGGGCTAGTTTTATGCTACTTATTAGATAAATTACGTAATCAATTTGGTACTAGAGGTAAGCGTTAGGCGCCATCTCTTAATAATATTAAGAGATGGCGCCTAACGCTTACCTCTAGTACCAAATTGATTACGTAATTTATCTAATAAGTAGCATAAAACTAGCCCGATAGATTTTCGGCAGACTGTTGGTTGTAGCTATAATTATATATCGGGTTGGAGATGTTTGTATATTTAAGATAAATTATATGGAAAACTGAATGTGCTTGTCAAATTAATGTGTTCCAAGGACAAGATGATTTGTCAAAAGTACTAATGATAAGTAAAGCTTAACCTTTCAATAGTGGAATAGTCAGGTATGGTGCTACCTACCCCTTAGTAGTGGAGAATAAATGTGCAAAATTTTTAGAGTATGTTTTTCATGTTATTTCTCATTACTGTTTCAAAAAAATATTTTGTAAATAGTTATGTCTAGTAAAGAAAAGTATTTTTTTATTGTTACATAATTCATTTTTCATGTGAATTTTTTTTTTCATGGTAGTGTTTGGCAATACCCCTCAAAAGAATTTGATGAATATATTTGTCCCTTACCACTGCCACATGATCACCCTTGACGAATATATTCGTCGCTCACTGCTGGTGGTTAATCTTTAGATTACTATTTTCTGTCTGCAATAATTTGTGTAATTATACATAAACATTATTAATTATTGATTTGCATGATGATCTGCAGAAGAATTTGTGGTACTTTATTGTTTGCATTTATCATATTTCTAAATATTATATTAGATCAAAAACAACATATCTATGGACTTAAATTTTTAAACTTAGTTATTAAAGAGCCAATATTTTTAGTAATTTGGAACTATACAATAAGAAACTAATTTTTATAAATTTAAATTACTTATCGAAATTTGGATTTAAAAGCTATAAAACTATTTTTGTCTTAAGACTTTCAAAAATTATGATGTATAGTAGGGAAATTAAATAAATCTAGATCTTTGTATTTATTTTTTAGGAAAATATGGCTGGAGATGAAGCTCACGTTGATGAATCCAAATTTACAGGTCTTTCAAAATATTTCAATTCTGAAACAATAAGAGGAAGAGCAAATGTAAGAGGCAATTTCATCTTTAAAATAAACTATTTGTCATTGTCAGATTCTTGAAATTTACAGAATAAATCTCTTCACAGGTTGCTAAACTTACCTATGGATTGTTAGCTTTAGGTGGATTATATTTATATTTCAGGAAGAAGAAGTCACCAGCACCAGCTTCTAAATAATTTTTCTACTTTAAGAATTAGACTGTACGGATAAAGTCAGTTATGAATAGTAAATATTCTAGCCTTGTATATTAAAGAAAAGAATATTAAAAAGGAATTTAGTGTAGATATTAGTCAATTTAATATTTAAAACAGCAAAAAAGTAAATGCTTACTGTCAGGACCTACATTTTATTTCCATATTTAAATACATGAGTCATAATGAAAATAAGACTAGATCCATAACCTGGAATGTATTTTTTTTGTATCTTTCCAGTATTTAACAAAATAATACAATAAAATGATGATAAAACTTGTGTTCAAATGAAACACACAATGTCAAATATAATAAATAAGTTTCATCACATTTACATAAATTAATTTACAGTTATATAAATAAAGAAATAGGTATTTATTGTGGCAGTGACATTACAATAAACCTAATTTATTTTTTAATGTGGTGATCTTAATATTTGCTTTTAATACCAACTATAGAATAACCAACAACAATACAGTTTTTAACCAGTTCGGTGAGGTAGCAATAACAAATGGAATGCCAGTGTCGAAAGTAAATTCTACGTGAAAGAGGCAACATTCATAAATTTTCTTTTTGTCACAAAAATACATATTGCATTTGTAACTATCAACCTTTTTAAATTTTTATGCTTTCCATTTATCACATGTTCTATAACATTGAAGACTATCATAATAACAAAATAAATAAATATATGGCACAAATAAATTTTCTGTATGCTGAAATTAAAATATATATATTTTTTAAATAAAACAATTTAGTGCCAAATGTATTAAAATCTATAATTTTTGTATTGTCACTAAAACATTTAAATATTTTCTCATAATTTAACAATCTTCACTTTTAGGCACTGCTTACAGAGAAGCCTTTTACTCTATACATAAATTCATTTTTTACTACTAGAGTTCAAAAACATTAAAACTACATTATACTGTTGATAAAACTCTCTGACACAAGATGTTCGATGTCTTTTACTCTGCTTTTCGTAAGCCGTCTAGTTTCTAGACTTTCTTCCTTCTCTCGGATAATATTCGGCAAGAATGTGTTGAGGAATGCGCTTAAGCATTTCTTTAGGAAAAATACGCAACAGCTGCCATCCTAAATCTAAAGATTCGAAAACAGATCTGTTCTCATAATGGCCTGCAATAGAAGAAAAATTGTCATAAAATATTTATTTAAAACTATATCTGTAAATTTATTACAAGTTACATACTTAAGTATAGATAGCTGTTATAATATATTATTAAAAACCATATTATACCAGATAGAATTTAAAGCAAAAAAATTGTATGCATAATTTTAATTTTATGCTGATTGATGTTCATGAAATTCAATAAAAATATATATAACACCATTTAATCCATTTTTGTAATTTTATTTGACTTATGAACAAAATATTACAATTTGTTTAGGTTATACACCACATTGAAGTCAAATTTAGTAAGACAGATTTAGTTTCTCAAAATAAGCAATTTTTTTAATTAGAAATATTTTCAGACCTAATTCTGGCCAATCTCAGCTTAAAAGTCAATTGAATATTCAGAGTGGATCCATTGTTGCTATTAAATAATATGAATGACATTGAAGTAATACAACCCAAAATTACATAAAATGCCACAAAGGCTTTGCCCCCTTATTCCCAATGTAGGCTATTCATAATAATTTGAATAGAAAAATATAATAATAAGTTTTCAATTATATCATCAAAATAATATAATTATAATGATGTATTTTAAAACATTTAATATTCTTACAATTTTATTTTTTGTATCATTCAAGACTATAATAGAATGTTTGGCTATTTGAGATAAAATGTTCTTAAAATAGTAAATAAAGTAGCCCCTTGTTATATACCAATTGAGTGATATAAATCATATTTCTAGCCACCTGTTTTGTCTATTAATATTTTCAATCTATTGCTGACTTGCTTTTTTTGTGGGTTATATTTCATCTAATGATGGTTTCAAAGTCAATAAGGTAATATTTCTTTGCCAGTAAAAATTCAATGGTGACCAATTTTTTAAAAATTATTGGGTACAGCACTTTTATTTGGAAAGCAAAAAAAAAGAAAGTGCAATATATCTGAATGAGTAATATAATGATAAATATAAAAACAATGCAGAATAAAAACAAAAGGTGTACCTTGTGCAATAAAATTCTTCTCAAACTTTGTTAGAAAATCTAAATAGAGCAAATCTTCTGATGAAAGAGCTTCTTCACCAACAACTGCTTTCATTGCTTGAACATCTTTTCCAATGGCATAGCATGCATACTATAAAAATAATAAACAAAACTTGTTTTCATAAATTTACATAAACTTAACATTACGCAGATGAAAATTTAACATTTTTCCCTTTAGGAAATAATTGTAATTAATTGATTTTCCTATAAAATGGATTTACCTGATTAAATAGAAAAACTAGTGACAAGATACTCAAAATGTATGCATTTGAAATTAATTAAAATAAAATCTATACCTTATCACTGAAAAAAAAACTTATATTTAATACAAAATGTTTCCAACCCCACTTAATAAACCATTCTCAACAGATAAATTTCATTTGGAATGTGTTATAAATATTCAAGTAAAAGTTCAAACTATGGAACATACAAAAAATTTAAAATACAAAGTTTGAATGTCTGACAGAACCTTATAAAAAAATATAAATAATTACTACTCCTCATTTTATTAATGTAACAACTGAACATATGGTAAATTCCATAATAATGAGACTCATAATCTCTGGCTTTTCCCATCAGCTTTCATTTATATTTTTCTCTCCTCTATGATTCTTTCATGGGTCTGGAAATTTGGCTCTCTGATGATTTCATCCTCATTTCTGCACACTTCAGATTCATCTATTCTTGCAAAGAATGCTAACACGGCATTCTCTTTTCCCATAATAAACATTATACATATTCTTTATGGCTGTGTACACACTAGACATTTTTAAATGCGCGTTTTAAAGAACCAAGAGTTCTACATAGGCATACACACTCAAATGCGTGCTTTTGGCCAAGCGCGCATTAAATGCGCGTTTATAGATTTTTCTTAAAACACGCGTTTTGCGGGTGTTAGCCGAGCGCTTTGAGATATATGTGCTGCCATGTTACTGTACATGCGATCGCGCGCTTTTGGGTAGAGTGGACGTATGTTGGCCAAAATGGAGAACGGTCATTTCGATACTGATATATTTATTGATGAAATCTAAAAGAGACCAACCATCGTCAAAGGATTTTATAGATATTTTAAAAGAATTAAAAAACTTGGATTTATTTTGTCTTAGTTTTGGATACAACATCGCAAACATTCCATGTGTCAGTCTATCTCGTAATATTGAGCGCACCCAAAATTCTCTTTGCCTCTGCCATCGTCTTTTATAGCAACGATGGAGGAGGCACACACACACAATTACTTTCACGTCCATTTCCAAACTGAGCCAGTGCGTACGCTCCACAAACGCTCGTCGAACGCCGAGCTAACGCGCGTTTAAAAACGCCTAGTGTGTACACAGCCTATTTCACAACTGGGTGCATAGGCAGACACTGGGCATCTTTAACATCACTCTTTATTCAAGAATATCTTACACACTGATACGTGTTTCAGGCATACGCTCTTCCATCAGCTACATAATAGAATATGAACATGTATTTTCCATATTACAAAATTTTTATATAGTGGTAAATTTCAATGTACCTTTTCTTTAACACATTTAGTAAAGAGGTGCTAATACCCATCCTTTTTTAAAATACATATATTTACAGTTAAAATTTTCCAACAGTGCACTGAACAGCACTTAGCCTTCACTGGTGATGCTGGTTTTTATCAGGTTTTTCTTAATCTCATTCACAAATTAAAACATTTATGTAATAAAATATTCTTTTTTATATTTATCTATTGTATACAAATGTTCCATTCCAATTATCTATTGTATGTAAATTTATTATTATATAAATTTAAATTATTACATTTTTTACTGGATTATCATGTTTTTTTTTACCAATCTTCTAATTTACATATTAATACATGATTTTTTTTCTTCCTTTTATAATTAACTTATTTATACTTCTTTATAATATTTTTAACCAGTTTTCATTAATCTTTATACTTAAATTTTTATTGATATTATTTTTTTAACATTTTATAATTTCAAAACTCTCTTTAAATTTTCTAATTGTACCAATTTTTTTTATCTGCATAAAATCCTTACTTTTTATGAATAACAAAGTTCCAAGGATAAATTTTTTTGATTAAATCAAATTTTTGACCATACAAATAAATTTGGGTCAGTACAAAATAATCCTTTTAATAATCCAGCTAGAGACAGATGGTTAACAACTTAAAAACCGACAAAATGACATTAAAAAATACATACAATATTTCCTAGTTTTCCACCAGAGGTCTGCAGATGTGTATAAATACAACTGATTTGTACCTGAGTGATATTGTGAAGAATTTTTAATGCTGTCATTGACATTGGATCCTCGAAGAAAAGGTCCGCGTCAATTGTATATTGTATATATTTTTTAATGTCATCTGGGTTTTTAAGTTGTTAACCATCTCTCAATAGCTGGATTATTAAAAGGATTATTTTTTACTGACCCAAATTTATTTGTATGGTCAAAAATTTGATCCTTACTTTTTCTTTGTTAATATTACAATTATTTATTGTGCAATGATCGTAAAAGACTGAGTTTACTCTTCTATATTTTAAATCAGTGACATGTTCTTTAAGTCTTACTCCTACTTTCCTTTTAGCTTCTCCTATGTAATTTTTCAGTTTTTCACAAGTACTTGTTAAAATCCATGGAGCATCTTCAAAGTCAAAATTACTCACCTTAAATTTAGTGAACCATTTTCAAATAGTTGACTCTGCTACAGTATGCTCATCATAAACACATATGTCTTTTTTTGTTTTATGAAATTTTTGCCTTTTTGATAAAAGAAAAGAAACAAATGTCAAAAATGCAACTTACTTGCTTTCCTTTTCACAAGACAAATTAAACATCCATTACAAAAAATTTTTTAAGATTATTTAAATAATCTTAATGGAGATTTTTGTAATGGACTTTTAATTTGTCTTGTAACAGGCAATTTCATTTTTCATACTATTCATTGTTTTATATAATTCTAATAATTTTTGCTTCATCCAGCATCTCAACTGTCAGCTATGAAAAATCACTATGAACTTTCCAAACAACCCAATATGTACAGCATGCATTTGTTTGTGGTCCTTTTAATAACTTTCTTTCTTTTATATAAAACTCTACTAATCTGAACTCCATATAATAGTCTAACATGAATATACTGTACACAAATTTAGCAATAAATAGTATAGCTTTATAATATATATATACAAGCTCTACTGGTTTTCATTCACTCACTGAGTGAAGCAGGCTTTTACCAAAAAAGTCAAATATTTTATGTACCAAGATCTTTAATTTTTGATTTTTAGGAGCATATATATTAATACTATATTATATGAAAAAGAACTGTATGAATATTAAATAACCAATAACAAATATTTTCAAATAATGCCAAAGGAAAAAGAAAAGAATATTCAATACAAGTGATTGTTCTGATTTCATTACATCTTTTAAATATATTATTATTATAGTAAAATATTATATTTATGTATTATATAATTTAAATTGTACATACCAATTGATTTGATACATCAGGATGATCTTTTCTTGTCATTCCTTCACCAATTGCAGATTTCATCAAACGAGATAGAGATGGTAATACATTAATAGGTGGATAAACCTTTACAATATTAAAATGTACCCTTGTTAAGAAACCAAGTTTTCAATGGGTTTGTTAAATTAATAGAATTAATTTCTTTCTTTCTTTCCTTAAATAAAATATACACAGAAATATTTCATATCATAAATACTAACTTGTCTATTATGTAGTTGACGGTCAACATATATCTGTCCTTCAGTAATATAACCAGTTAAATCAGGAATGGGATGAGTTATATCTGATCAAAAATGTAAACTTTTAGCTATCATAAGTTTATTGTTTTAATTTAAACTTATTAATACTCAGAAAAAGGTGTAAAATAAAACAACAAAACTAATATTGAGAAGTCAAAATGTTTAAATGTTAAAAACATAAACCATAATACATTATCATACAGTATTATAAAATTCATTATAACTGGTATGAAGAGAAATTAAAAAGGAATGTACAGAAATTTTTTGAAAATACATTAATAGCTAGACAACATGTGAAATATTCAGTACAAAGATACATCTTAGCTATTTTTCAACATAATAAATGTATCCCTCAAGACATTTCTCCCATCTTGACATCAGTTTTAGTATATCTTGTTCATAAAACTGTTTTCTGGACATTAGCCAACTGCACATGACCAATTTTCACTTTATCATCTGATTCAAAGTGAAATCAGAACTTTATTTCAGATTATTCCACCCAGGAACTTTTTTTATGAGACTGAACAGATGAAAGTCCATAGATCCAGGTTCAGACTACAGGATTGATGTTGACCATTTTCCAGCCAAACTGTGCAATTTTGGTATGAACAGCTGCCACAAACATTGTTATGAAGTAGTCTGACATTTGTAGTATCTCTTTTGGGGTATGATATGAAACTTTGTCAATGTGTTAGCACAGATTTCAGCATTCAGACTGGTCCCCCTTGGAAGAAAGTCCACCAGGAGAACACTATCACTAAGATCTTCTTTGCTAACTGGATGACTGAATTTCTTTGATAGAGGGATGAGGATTGTTTGCACACCTTAAGACACAACTTTTGTGTATATTTCACATTTTGCCTAGGTATTAAGTTACAGTAGAGCATCAATTATCCGAATATCAATCAACCGAAATGTCAATTAACTGAAAGCTTTCCAGTCAGAAAATTTAAATTTTCACTAGTGCTGTGGCACTGCAATCTTTGGCTATGTCTTGGGCTACTCCAAAATTATTTTTGTTGGAGTGAGTGTTTTAGCTGGCAGCATTTTGGCATATGAGAGGGTACTTAAGACATGCCAGGATTTGAATGAATTTCAACATGGGATAGGTTAATATATTTTTTCGTACATAATCGGTTATCTGAAAAATCGATTTTCCAAACAACCCCAGTCGATTCAGATAATTGATGCTCTACCATATTCACAAAAAATTTCCTGTACATATTTAAACATCTCAATTTTATTAAAATTCCTATGCATTACTTTTTAAGCTCTCCTCTCCTCATAGTTTAAAAATCTTATCAAATGTCTATAATAAAATACTTTAGCTAATTTTTAAGAAGTAAAATAACTCAAAAATGTTTATAAATTGGTGATTTTTCCTCAGATTGGCTTGAAACTTGTAAATGTCAATTTTAATTCATAAATATATAATTATTGCTCATTAAAAATATATGGTTTTTGTATAATTATTTATGATTAAATCTACTTATAGTTTTATTATTATACATAAAATAGTAAAATTATATTTTAATTTACCATCATTTGGCATTGTTAAAATGGGTATCTGTGTTATAGAACCATTTCTTCCTTCTACTCGACCAGCCCTTTCATAAATGGTAGCTAAATCTGTATACATGTAACCAGGGAAACCACGTCTACCTGGAACTTCCTCACGTGCTGCTGAAACCTTAAATTATCACGGGGGGAAAAAATCAATCAAAATTTAAATTTTCAAAATGATAAAAACGATAAAATAACTTACTTCACGAAGCGCTTCAGCATACGAAGACATGTCTGTCAATATAACTAAAACATGTTTTTCACATTGATAAGCCAAAAATTCTGCAGTAGTAAGAGCTAATCTGGGAGTAATTATACGTTCTATTCTGAATAAATAAATTATATTTTATGTAATATTTCCTAAATAATTTAATTCAAAATATTTATGTTAATTCGTAATGATCACAATTATAATTTAATGCAAGATTTTAGAATTGCTAAAATCTTTACTGAATGACATTAACTTAATATATTCTTACGTTGGATCATTGGCGAGATTAAGAAACAAACAAACATTTTCCATTGATCCATTTTCTTCAAAATCTTGTTTAAAGAATCGTGCTGTTTCCATGTTGACCTTTAAAAGTTAATGTAAAAATAAATTACTAAACATAATTTTAATCTTTTAGATGTTATCATCAAATTATTATTTAAAATATCAAAAAATTTATCTTAAATTCATTATTTACTTAATATACGTCATTTATGTTAAGTATTATATTTATAGGATTTTAATTGAGGAAGCATAAATTAATTTTTTTTGGTATTGCTTGGTATAATGAAATAAAATAATATTTACTATTAATTTTTTGGAATTAGTTAATTAGTTGAAATATCTTACATTTCACATCTTATAACTTTTAGCAATGCTTTGAAATAACTACTTATTATTACAAACTTGTCTATGATTAAAAAAAAATATGAAAATTATCATATAGAAGAACCTTTCTAATCCAAACCCCAACAGTTAAATTCCAATTAATCTAAATATCAGAACAAAATATGGATCTAAAAAAATGTTTATAAATCCAAATTATATAAAAATTATCAAATAAGTTTATTTGAGAAAGCTATAAACAATTTGTTTCATAAAAATGTTCATATAATAATTCATAAAGATAATAAATATTTAAAGAAATGGTTTTCCAGTATTTTTCTAACAAAATTTCAATATTGTATTGGAAATGAAATTTTTTCATGCAAATTAAAACCATATAAACTTGTAAATATCTTTAATTTCAGATTATCAAATAAATTATCAGGATATTCATTTTTTAATGAAAAAATAAACTTACACCCATTGCTGCAAAAACTATAGCAAAATTATCCTGGTGGCTATCTAACACTGATTTTTCAGGAATTTTAACTAATCCACCTTGTCTACAAATCTGAGCAGCAATCTAAAACAATAAATTTGTTTATCAATCAAACAAATATTTGAAATGAATATTATTATAATTAAAATATTATAACTTTATAACAAAAAATTTATCTACTACAGTTAAAAACTACTAAATCTAGAATTATTTATATAACTAAAAATAATCTCTAAAATTTTGATAATTAAATTAGTTAAAATATATATAACTAATAAATGATAATAATAATGACCCAATACATTAAAGTTTCCAGACAAACTGATGAATTATCAGGCTATTATAAGACTATAATGATATATGAGAGTAATCTGAAAGAAGGTCATTTACAACTATCATTTTATAAACTTTAGCTGATGACATACATCTGAGAGCATCAAATCTCACTTCATCAGATATTGTGTTTTTAAAATTACAATATTAATAATTAAGTATTGGTTTATTGGAAAGTTTTGTGTCTACAAAACAGAGAATATGTGACATTTCATACATGAGGTGATGTCTGTTAAGATGGACTTTCACATAGTCAGAGCAATGAGAGATTGCACTTGCTCAGTACTAACTGTCCCATTTTAGGAGAAATATAGTGACATTAGGATTGCCACCCTGCTGGTATTGGGTTGATTTGGCTGGCAATTTTAAATCAAGGCCAGAAGTCGACAAAAATATTTAAGTGTCGGCAAAATAATTTAAAATATAAACAAAATTATATTTTAATTGAAAAAATATTAGATAAAAAATTTATTTTATATTTAATATGTTTACTTATAATGATAAAATGCTTGAACACCTTAAAAATTTTTTCAGCAACACTTTAATTTGTTTAACCCTTTTCTACCTTTTTTGAAGATCTGCATCAGGTTTAACAAGAAGATTTCCACTGTTTAAGAAAACAGTTCATATCTTTTTGTTAAATCTGACCCAGATCTGTGAAAAGGAGTCCAAAAGGTAAATCAATAATCAGTTAACGAACAAAGTCTTGGAACAGATTATGTTCATTAATTGATCATCCACTGTATTAAAGTTTTTTTTATGATTCACAAATGATGCTGTAATATGCTAAATTTTCAAATGCGTTTCGTGTGATTCTAAGTAAAAATAATTGTTTGTACTAAATTTACTGCTGTTTTGAGTTTTAAAAATTGATTTTACAAAGATGAACCAGTCTAAGCATTTGTTTGATTCTTCTTTTCCCCAAATAAGTACAGTACATACAATTGTATATTTAGGAAAATTTGACTTGAGAGAATGAATCCAAAACTTGGTTAACATGTGATGATGATGATATTCATTTGGCTTGTTGCATCATTTACTGAACCTCATTTAGTGTTAAATACAATGGAATTACAGCATTTACAAGGCAAGCCAATCATGAAAAGCATTAAAAAAAGTGCATCGTCTCATTACTTTCGCTCTCTCTAGTCATCGTGTCCACCAACAAAACACTTTTCAAAGAACACAACCTTTGATTACACAATGGGATATTTTTTTTGAGTAAAAGGAAATTATCTGTAATTTGTTTGGGGGTAGTGTTACAATATTAACTTTATCTGCAATAAGATTACAAATTTATTTTCTACTACACAATAAAAGCATGTGTATCTACATGTAAGTGATTTCATTCTATATAACAATGAAAATGATTTTCAAGATCATATAGAATGAAATCACTTACTTTTTTGCAAATTATGTAGTCCTAAATGTATTTTATTTGAATTCTGAAATGGTTTAACACTAATTAAATTGTGATCTTCAACTATGTTTTTAAGATTTTTATGTTACCTCTGCCATTAAAAAGTTATAACATAAGATCCCATATAATCATCCATACATGATTTCCTATGTAACTTATATATATATATATTAACAAAATTAATATATCTTCAGTAATTTTCAGTTCAACTTGTCCTAAACATCATTATGTTTAAGCCAAATCTGAGCTGAAATAACACATTATTACTAATTTATGTAATTAAAATTAATTCTTATTCTTTTAAGTTCATCTTGTATATTATATTTTTCCATAAATTTTTCAGAAAGACTATAAACTGTAATTTCATATCTTTTCCTAATATACCACATTATATATATTTTCAAAATTATCTTAATCACTTATGAATTAAAATTTTTCAGTTGATTCACACTCTTAAAAAAAAATTTTTTTAAGTGACTAGATTGACTAATTCTTTGATTTCTAAGTTAAAAATAATTATGCAAAATCATTTTTACTTCATTATGAGGAAGTCCAGCTGCTGAAAATATAGGTATTTTTTGGCCTCTTGCTATGCTATTCATCACATCAATAGCTGAAATTCCTGTTTGTATCATTTCCTCTGGATATATACGAGACCACGGATTAATAGGTTGACCTAATTTAAATACAATAAATAAATATAAGTTATTTATTAAATATTAGATAAATATTAATATCTTTACATTAGTTATTTAAGTTATATAAAATTAATGAAATAATTCTTTTTATGTATGATGATAATACATACTCTTCAATTAATGTCATTAATTAATAGGGTCTTGAAAACTGTGATGTTAATTAAGCAAAAATAACATAACAAAACCAACTTTATTATAGACTAGATAAGATATAATTTGATTAGTATTATTGTAATTGGATCATGTTTGCAACCTCCAGCATTTAACCATTTACTTTCCATCTCACAAAATCAATTTTACTGTTTATAAACTAAACTCAGCAATAACTGTAGATGATTACAAATGTACTTGTATCTTTCCTCAACAATGTTATAACAAAATGATGTTAAGTAAGGACTTGTATAATTTTTATATTTATTTCACAATTATCTTATTTTGTATCAAGTTATTTTTGTTATGTTTTACTATTGTCATATTTAAAACTTCTAAAAAATCTTGTAAATATAATGCATCACATCAATAACTGAAAAATACATTTACTAAAACCAACTGAAACTATATCAATACATCTTAAAGACTGAGAATAAGACTAATCAACTTCTGTTTTTAAAAAAAATATGAAAGCAGTAATATAACAAGTAAAACAGCAAAACCATATTTGGAACAAGACTATGTCTTGGAGACTCACTACTAAGTGGAATCACTTTGATGCTCAAGGCAAATCTCGTTCTTATTCTCCAATCTTCTTGTTTTTGGGTGCGATCATTCAAACTTCGCCAGCCATGACCACAAGGTCATCCACGATGCATTTTCGATGAAATTAACCTATCCAATTTCGAAATTTCTCTCCGTTGCAAGTCGACCCAGGTTGAATTTTTGTTGATGCATAACAAAAATTTCCCGTTTTTGAAAAAAATAATTGTGGCTATTGTATTGCCCGAAATTATTTTTTTTATTTTGCACAAACAATATACAGTTTAACCCAATTATAATGTCATAGGATGTAATGACAACCCTAATATAACGTCAAATTTTTATCGATCCCACGATTTTACTATACTAGATAATGTTAAAAAACTGACTTGTAACGACACCCTGTTTTAATGTCATATCCCAAATTTACAGAATTAGATTACAAATTTTATTTAACATAGAAGAAACTACATGTTCAGTCCTAAGGTCAGAGTTCACTTTTTAGAATGACTGTGGGTGGTACTCTCCCCACCTGACTTCAGTGGAGTGAGGTGCCTGTTTGTAGAAGAGGGTTGCCATTTTGAATTTTATTTTGACTCGGTTCTCAGTCCCCTGACTACCTGCAAGTCTGGATTTTTTTATGCGCAAATGATTTGAGCACCTCTGTGCTAAATATCAACTCTCGACATGTACTCCTTCATACCTCTATGCTGGTAACATAAAACGACAGTACGATTTTATAAACAAGACAGTCTTGTCAATAAAGAAATGTATATAATATAGTTTTATAATAAATTATATATTTGAAAATATTACAGATTTAAATTTAAAATCTCTTTTGCTAAAAAATTTGCCAGGACAGAAATTTTTAAAAATTTAAGAAAATTCTTTTTATATAAATACCTTTGATAAAAAATTTGCCAAATGTATTTATTTTTTAATATTGTGCTATTGCTAGAGGGATTTTGTAAATTTTACATATTGAGTCAGATGAGTAGCCTCAAATAAAAGGTTGACTCCTCAGTAGAACTATTATTTTTCTCGTGTGTGAAGGGATAGGTGAAAAGACATTTTTTTGTATTGTCTATTAAAGAATTTTCTTAAATTTTTTAAAAACTCTGTTTATTTGGCCAAGTTTTTATGGCAGTTTCACCACTCTTCATTATAGTTCTTGTTTTTATTTTAGTTCAGTCATGATTGCATGTGTTCAGTCACACAAAATATTTGACTTTAAAAGAACTATCACAAACCAATTACAATTATTAACCAACCATATTTTCTACTACAGAAACAGAAAGCTGTTTAATTTAATAAGCTGAAGAAACAGTTCATTAAATTTAATAATGTTGATAAAATAGAAATTTCTAATAAAGTCATTCAATAAGTCATTTGTTAAATGCTATTTGTAAAGGTTAAAAGAAAATGAAAAATCAAGAATTTACTGTATATTATAATTTTTTAGTTCTATAANAAGAAACAGTTCATTAAATTTAATAATGTTGATAAAATAGAAATTTCTAATAAAGTCATTCAATAAGTCATTTGTTAAATGCTATTTGTAAAGGTTAAAAGAAAATGAAAAATCAAGAATTTACTGTATATTATAATTTTTTATGATTTAAATACAACTAGAAATTATATTATTATATTTATATAATGTTATAAAATATTTCTTAGTTATTAATTAAAAAATAAATAAACATATAAATTACCCTGAATATCTAAAAAATCTTCTGCTAAGACAGGTGGACCTTTATCAATTGGTTTTCCAGAACCATTAAACACTCTGCCTGTATAAGAATTTTATCATTAATTTTAAATAAGAAAGTATTTTTCTAAACATCATATCAAGTAATTAAATTTTTTAAATAAAATATTAAAATTCATTATTGATTTGAAAAGAGATTTCAAAAATCCAATCTTTAAATCATTATATAGTTCATATTATAATAGCATTGTTAAAACATAGTTAAGTTACTAAAATTTTATTATATTTTATTTATAGAATATGCAATTATTAATTATCAAATAATCATAAAATATTTTTGGACATGCATACATTCTTCAATTCAAAGTAAAACTATTTCAAACAAAATATTATATTAATGTTTCTAATAATATATTGCACTGTATTTTACAAAGAATGAAATAAAATTTCTTTAAAAACAACAAATAGTCCATAATTTATTATATATAATAAAACACATCATCATTCATTTTTTAAAACACAAAATACTACATTTTCCATATTAAAATTAGTTTTTACACATTTAAAACATACCTAACATGTCTTCTGAAACTGGTGTGCGTAAAATATCTCCAGTAAATTCACATAATGTATGTTTAGCATCTATACCAGAAGTTCCTTCAAAAACCTATTGAAAGATGACATTTATTTTACATTTAAATCAAGTACAAATTCATATAATTTCATAGCAAGCATTCCAAACAATCCTAATTAAAATCTCAATCAAATACAATAATACCTCAGTTTTCATTGACTTCAGTTATCGTTGGTTTCAGTTTTTGTCAAATTTTTTGTGAAAAATTTGTCTCAGTTTTTGTCAATTGCCTCGGATTTCATCGGCATGCCCAAGTGACCTCGCTGCTAATTTTGCAAAAACAAAGGGTGACCCATACATTTTCCAGCTCAATAGGGTGTTATTTCTTGTTGTGTGAGCATTACCCCATGATGGGCCAAGTGGTTTCGTCCCCTGAATGCTGGAAGTTTGGCTTGGGTTCGCACCTCATCAGGATGAGCTGTCCATGTAAAGTTTTCTGGGTTTTCTCGACATCTGTAATGCCTGAATAGGTGCCAGTTACCCTTAAACGGACCTCCCAGAAGGCATTATTCCACACAATACAGCCATCATAAATGCTATTATATGACAATTACGTCACACATTACCACGGAGTGATATAGACTATGAAGCTCATGTCCAACTAGCTCCTACAAGACAAGACATTACCCCATGCGTCTAGCCAAACAATTCCATTGCTTTCCTTTAGCTAAGTCTTTTATATTAATTTCTTATTGCTTTTAGTATTTAACACTATATTAATTCTCTATAAAATAAGGAAATGCTTTTGGTATGTATTTTGGAATGTCTAGAATGAATTAATTGGATTTGCATTCATTCATATAGAAATAACTGCCTTTGTTTTCATTGGTTTCGGATTTTGCCGATTATTTTCAGATGTATTATCAACGAAAACTGAGGTATCACAGTATACTAAAAATAAAATTTGAATTTTTATATGAAAACAAACAATAATCTTTTAACAAACTCTACTGACAGATCAGCAGAGTTTAAGACATCATTTCTTCTTCATCATAACAAATAACCTTAATAATTTCAAATAAACATAACAAATGATAGAAAACTTTTAACACTNATTTTTTGTGAAAAATTTGTCTCAGTTTTTGTCAATTGCCTCGGATTTCATCGGCATGCCCAAGTGACCTCGCTGCTAATTTTGCAAAAACAAAGGGTGACCCATACATTTTCCAGCTCAATAGGGTGTTATTTCTTGTTGTGTGAGCATTACCCCATGATGGGCCAAGTGGTTTCGTCCCCTGAATGCTGGAAGTTTGGCTTGGGTTCGCACCTCATCAGGATGAGCTGTCCATGTAAAGTTTTCTGGGTTTTCTCGACATCTGTAATGCCTGAATAGGTGCCAGTTACCCTTAAACGGACCTCCCAGAAGGCATTATTCCACACAATACAGCCATCATAAATGCTATTATATGACAATTACGTCACACATTACCACGGAGTGATATAGACTATGAAGCTCATGTCCAACTAGCTCCTACAAGACAAGACATTACCCCATGCGTCTAGCCAAACAATTCCATTGCTTTCCTTTAGCTAAGTCTTTTATATTAATTTCTTATTGCTTTTAGTATTTAACACTATATTAATTCTCTATAAAATAAGGAAATGCTTTTGGTATGTATTTTGGAATGTCTAGAATGAATTAATTGGATTTGCATTCATTCATATAGAAATAACTGCCTTTGTTTTCATTGGTTTCGGATTTTGCCGATTATTTTCAGATGTATTATCAACGAAAACTGAGGTATCACAGTATACTAAAAATAAAATTTGAATTTTTATATGAAAACAAACAATAATCTTTTAACAAACTCTACTGACAGATCAGCAGAGTTTAAGACATCATTTCTTCTTCATCATAACAAATAACCTTAATAATTTCAAATAAACATAACAAATGATAGAAAACTTTTAACACTGGCTCAAAGATAATTAAGTCACATATAGTTGTTTGATCATAAATAATAATAATATAATAATATTATTTATTTTTTAAATCATTTATCAATAAGTAATTTTTAATTATTGATCACAATTTTAAATTGTTTATCTGTAAAAAAATACAGAGTGGCCCAAAAGTCAATTAAGGAAATATATTTTAAGATTAGTTTAAAATAACCACATTTTTTTTTTATTCATTCAGTCAAATCTAATGAAGTGACTGAATCATAAATTTAATTCCAACATATAATTTCATTTGTAATAAAGACATCTATTTAAAATATTACAAGAATATATGGGAATATTTAAATATCATTTTTTTTCTTTCTTATTTTCTTATCATCAACTCCATAATCACGAAATCAGTATAATCAAAATAAGGACAAAATATGAAAGGATGAAAACACTAAATTTTTCATCCTCATTTTATTCAATTCATATTTCTGCTGGGAAAACAATGAATTGCTATGAACTTACAGTTAATCATCTTTAGCTCAAATCCTAGTTCTGTTTCAGAACAGATGACCACCATGTTACAATGTAGAGAACCACAGAAAAGCACTTCAATACCACCTTCACTGTTGAGAGACACACTGTCTCCATTGCTGGCTTGTTGGTATAGGAAGCCATTTCATATGATAGTTAATCACCATTGGTAGTGGGACATTAACAGCATAGTGGTATGCTCAGGAAATCCTTTGCTCATGAGCAAGGCTGCAAACATCCATTTTCTAGCAAGATAATGCTCAGCCATACACAACTAAGATTTGTCTAACAAGGGGACCTTATGGTCTCGGAAATTCAGTTCAAGATGAGACTTTGCAGGTTAGTAGTATACCTCAAGGGTTCCACCCAGAAGAATTGTAAAGCACACTAGCCAGAAGATTCCAAGAAAAAGGCTTCTAAAGTTTTAAGCGTAGCTCATATACTGGTCGATTTTACACTATGGCAGCACAGCGAAATGGCTGATTTTGTAGCAAACTCGCTTGCCACGCGGGTGATCTAGATTCGATACTATCTTCGGCTAACTTTTTTTTTATTTTTATTTTTATTTGCTTTAAAAATTATAACAAATAATGTTAATGACCTAAAAGTATTATTAATTAAATCATAAACTATTTTACTATTTTATTATCAAAAACTATTTATGAAATGACTGTTACNCTCCATTTCAGCACATATATCTCAAAGCGCTCGGCTGACGCCCGCAAAACGCGCGATCGCATGTACGGTAACATGGTAGCACATATATCTCAAAGCGCCCGTAAAGCGCTCGTAAAACGCGCGTTTTAACAAAAATCTATAAGCGCTCGCAAAACGCGCGTTTAACGCGCGCTTGGCTTTTGAGTGTGTACGGCTACATAGAACTCTTGGTTCTTATAAGCGCTCGCAAAACGCGCGTTTAACGCGCGCTTGGCTTTTGAGTGTGTACGGCTACATAGAACTCTTGGTTCTTTTAAACGCGCGTTGAAAATCGCCTAGTGTGTACAGGGTCTAAGCCATTTACTATATGATTTTTTTGCTGACAAGGTGTGAATAAAGTCCATATAAATCATTTGCGATTATGCCACTATCTCAGCTAAATGAAACACTTAATTCGAAGTGAATCAACAAGTCATTAATTACAGCAATCAGGTTACCAGAATTTCATACATCATTTAACAGTTAATTGTAATCTGTAAAATTTAAATCATAAACCAAAATGCACAATCCCATTTAATTAAAACACGAATTCTTAAAAACACAATGTGACGTATTGGCATGTAAACAAAAAGGGAATAAAAAAAAAACGCTGACCTCTCTAATTTGATTCAAGCTTGCTAACTTGCCAAATCGTAGTGAGTGACCACCCTCATCCGATCCAAACTTATCTGAGTAAAATCTCTTTGCAATGAAAATCTGTAATTAGTTGGAATTCCTGCCCAAAAAGTCCTTAAGAGACTTAATTTGCTTTGATATAAATCGAATAGATTTACCTTTCTTTCTAATGACTGATTTCAAAATTAATCTCTCCATCTTCCACACATCTTCTCTACAAATATCTTTTCTGATGGATTTCCTCAGTTGAAGTGTTTTTAAAGCGGTTTCTTCTCATTTTTTCCGCAGAACACTTGAAGTGGATTCACAGAGCACCCATGTTCTACGGATCCACAGATTGAAAACAACGGCTCAATGGTATATATAATAAGCTTTGATTACGCTCCACTTCATAAATTAATTTTAAGATTAAGAAAGTAAATAGAAATGCATTTCTTTATGAACACATTCAACATATTAATTAAAAACATGTAAAATAGTTTTAATATGTTAAAGTGTAACAATTTTTAGTTATTTAGTAAATTAGATGACAATCAATTAACAAATATATTTTTTGATTATATAGTAGAGCGTCGTTTATCCGAAACGTCGGTTATCCGAAGGAATTCCAGTCGACAAATTTAAAATTTCGCCAGTGCTGTGGCGCTGTAATTTTTGGCTATGTCTTCGGCTACTCAAATATTTTACGTTTTTGATACTAAATTAACTTCTGAAGTATAATTTTTTATTGTTTTTATATTTTTCAATATATTTATTTTGTTTGTACAAAATAAAAAAANAGATTAAGAAGGTAAATAGAAATGCATTTCTTTATGAACACGTTCAACAGATTAATTAAAATTATGTGAAATACTTTTAATTTGTTTAAAGTGTAACAATTTTTAGTTAGTTAGTAACTTAGACGACAATCAATTAACAAATATATTTTGTGATTTTAAGTACTTTTAAATGAACAAATGCAAAAAAAAAAAAAAATATGAAAATAAATTGAGTGAGAATTTAAATAATTAACCCTTTTTTTTCTTTGGGGTAAAATGATACATAAAATGATATGAAAATTGAGACTGATAAAAAATTAACTAACACCATAAATATAAAATATTCAAACATAATATGAAATTATAAAAATATAAGTATTTGTACCTGTCATGAATGTATAACAAAGGAACTGTGATTACAGTTAATTGCATCAATACATTAAGAAACCACGTGTGTGAGATAAACTGTAAATACAAATAAATTTTCAGATATACTTGAATAGCATTTGAATTACATTGAAGGATACTAAACAATTTACAGATGGTTTAGAGTAGCTGAAATTCATAAAATGAAGAATGTATCTCCACCAGTGTTGTTCAGCTGTTTGTGCATATGAGTATACGAGATCCCAGTGTGGTCCTTCATCACAGATTGGCAGAATTATGAAGAAAGCCAATAAGAAAAGCAAAGGAATAGACAATCTAATAGAAAATAAAAAAATATACTAATAATATATTTCGTTTAATTTTATAAATGAAATTAAGAAAATAAAATTATAATTAACCTTGTGTATCGCTTGATAAAAAAAATAAAGTAATAAGATATAGAGTTTTCTTCATCGTTTCTACGTAGATAGAATGTCAAAAATCCGCTGTACAAAATTGAAAAATATTTTTATTCAGTTACATTTCATTATAAGCATAATATTTAATTTAATTTAATTATTATTTAACATCTTAAAATTACTTAATTTTATAAACTAAATTATGAAAGAATGAAACATTTTAAAACTTGTACAATATTTAAATTTATGTAAATATATAAATGAAAATGAAGAAATCTTCAACTTCTATTTATAACTGATATGAATATTTTTATTATAGATATTAAAATACTGTATATCATTAAAAGTAAATTTGCGTTTTATATATTTCTTAACAAAAATACTTTTCAAATTCCTAATATAAAGGATATAAATGCTTTTGTATGATTTAAAGCAAAAATATTTAATAAAAAAATAGTAAAATAAAGAAAACGAAACCTTCCTGAAAATAATTGCAAAGATCTTAGTATTTTTGACAAGATTATATTCTTTCGTAAAATCTATATTTTAAAGGCTTATCGAATTGTTCAATGTACAATTGTTATAAATAGTGAAACATAACTGTACACTACAAATAAAAAATCAGGCATAAACAAATAGCAATACGCACTGTAATTTTGATTTTCCTTTTTTTAAATGTAGGAGACAATCTGTTTAACATCTCTTGTCTACAGGGATTTGCTATCTAAAGCAAACAGTTTACTGTAAAAAAGTGTGCTTAATTTTATATCTCACAAAAGAAGAAGAATGTCGCAATGTTTCTAAGTATAATTCAATTTAAACGGATGAGAATCTTGAGTGTCATACGTGACAACGCATGCAGCAACGATAAATGTTCTGCAAATGAGCTCTGATTGCATACGTGATTTTCAATTTGAAAGACCAAAAAATCGTATTTGCATTAAATTGAATTGCGTTGTTCATTATGAAATAATTATACTACATAAACTATGAAGAAAAATTTATGAACTTACCTTAAAAAAAAGAAAGGTTCCATAATATAAGTTGCTTGAGTTACAATTTCTACAGCAACATCATCAGATATATTTACAACATTTATTAATTTTTCTAAAATACGAACAAAGAACAAATAATCAGTACGTATGTTCCAATATTTCTCCGATATAAACAGTATTTATTTATTTAATGTTGTAAATTTACTTCATACATATTCACGAAGTATTAAGACGTTATTTGAAATATATCAAAATCTAGCAGCGAGTTGCGTAAATTTCCCGGCAACAATAAAACGTGTGTAACGCTATCCGTTATGATATTTTATATAAAACATTTTTACATTTTTAGTTATTATAAAACGGTAAGAAATTTGAGTTCTCTCTATCCACAGATTTGAAATCTACATCAACGTTTAAAAAATTCTTGTACGTGACGATTATCAACTACGGAAGTTCAGTGAGAAACATGAAAAGAACAGTCTGCCATCTGATGGAATAAGTATTTGTCTTAACAATTCTGCTGAAAAACATATTTTTTTTTCAACATGTTTGTATCATTCAAGGGTAATATATGGATGACAGAAAAATTTTGACGGTAAGCACGAGTTTAAAAAGAAATTTGTAACAAGTAATATTGTTATTACGATCGGCTATATCCGAGGTATGACACACGAGCCCCCTTTTATATCTCCTTTCCTCGACTTCTAAACACAAATTCTAGCAATGTCTATCTCCATGTACAAAAAAATTGTTCCAAAGTTTTCAGAAATTTCCGGTAAAAAGTACAAGAGATATTAAGTTTCAAAGAAAATGAACAAATTTGTGTTCCCACACACTCACAAAATGTAAAAAAAAAACAATATGAAAGTCAATTGAGTAAGAATTTAAATAATCATCGCTTTTTCCTTCTTCTGAAAGAAAATAATACATAGAATGATATGAAAATTGAAACTGATTAAAAATTAACTAATACCATAAATATAAAATATTCAAACATAATATGATATTGTAAAGATATAAGTATTCTTACCTGTCATAAATGTATAACAAAGGAAGTGTGATTACAGTTATTTGCATCAATACGTTAAGAAACCACGTGTGTGAGATAAACTGTAAATACAAATGAATTTTCAGATATACGTAAATAGCATTTGAATAGCATTGAAGAACATTAAATAATTTACATATGGTTTAATGTAGCCGAAATTCATAAAATGAAGAATGTATCTCCACCAGTGTTGTTCAGCTGTTTGTGCTTCTTCGTATACGAGATCCCAGTGTGGTCCTTCGCCACAGATTGGAAGAATAATGAAGAAAGCCAATAAAAAAAGCAAAGGAATAGACAATCTAATAGAAAATGAAAAAATATACTAATAATATCTTTCGTTTAATTGTATAAATGAAATTAAAAAAATAAAATTATAATTAACCTTGTGTATCGGTTGATAAAAAAAATAAAGTAAGAAGATATAGAGTTTTCTTCATCGTTTCTACGTAGATATAATGTTAAAAATCCGCTGTACAAAATTAAAAAATATTTTTATTCAGTTACACTTCATTATAAGCATAATATTTAATTTAATTTAATTATTATTTAACATCTTAAAATTAGTTAATTTTATAAAATAAATTATAAAGGAATGAAACATTTTAAAACTTGTACAACTTTTAAATTTATGTAAATGATTGAACTGATACGAATATTTATATTATAGATATTAAAATATATCATATGCAAGTAAATCTGCGTTTTATACATTGCTTAAACAAAAATACTTGTCAAATTCCTAATATAAAGGATAAAAATGCTTTTCTATGATTTAAAGCAAAAATATTTTCATAAAAAAATAATAAAATAATGAAAACGAAACCTTCCTGAAAATAATTGCTATGATCTTAGTATTTTTGATAAGATTATATTCATTCGTTAAATCTTTATTTTAAAGGTTTATTGGATTGTTCAATATATAATTGTTATACAATAGTTAAACATAACTGTACACTACAAATAAAAAATCAGGCATAAACAAATAGCAATACGCACTGTAATTTTGATTTTCCTTTTTTTAAATGTAGGAGACAATCTGTTTAACATCTCTTGTCTACAGGGATTTGCTATCTAAAGCAAACAGTTTACTGTAAAAAAGTGTGCTTAATTTTATATCTCACAAAAGAAGAAGAATGTCGCAATGTTTCTAAGTATAATTCAATTTAAACGGATGAGAATCTTGAGTGTCATACGTGACAACGCATGCAGCAACGATAAATGTTCTGCAAATGAGCTCTGATTGCATACGTGATTTTCAATTTGAAAGACCAAAAAATCGTATTTGCATTAAATTGAATTGCGTTGTTCATTATGAAATAATTATACTACATAAACTATGAAGAAAAATTTATGAACTTACCTTAAAAAAAAGAAAGGTTCCATAATATAAGTTGCTTGAGTTACAATTTCTACAGCAACATCATCAGATATATTTACAACATTTATTAATTTTTCTAAAATACGAACAAAGAACAAATAATCAGTACGTATGTTCCAATATTTCTCCGATATAAACAGTATTTATTTATTTAATGTTGTAAATTTACTTCATACATATTCACGAAGTATTAAGACGTTATTTGAAATATATCAAAATCTAGCAGCGAGTTGCGTAAATTTCCCGGCAACAATAAAACGTGTGTAACGCTATCCGTTATGATATTTTATATAAAACATTTTTACATTTTTAGTTATTATAAAACGGTAAGAAATTTGAGTTCTCTCTATCCACAGATTTGAAATCTACATCAACGTTTAAAAAATTCTTGTACGTGACGATTATCAACTACGGAAGTTCAGTGAGAAACATGAAAAGAACAGTCTGCCATCTGATGGAATAAGTATTTGTCTTAACAATTCTGCTGAAAAACATATTTTTTTTCAACATGTTTGTATCATTCAAGGGTAATATATGGAGAAAACACCTTACGACGCAATAGCCCTTCCGGCAATCACAAACTATCGTTAGTGAGACAAA